CCCCAAAACCCCAAAACCCCAAAACCCCAAAACCCCTATAAAATTTGCAATATAGAAGTTGATTTATCAGTGTTCTAGAACCATAATCAGTATTGAGGATCAAGAACACAAGGACCTGCACTAGATTTACTGCTGAAAATGTAGCGGTCAATGTCATCAGTGATCCAGAGTTGTTCTCCTGGTGCTCTTTCCTTACTATAATAAGTATAAACACTATCGATAAACTCTTTGAGATGAGAGTCTTCTACTAAAGATATGGATCATCCTCCCCATCCGTTTCCAGTAAGTTTGGATCCAAGCGCATCATTTTCTTTACATAAAGAGATAAGCTCATCCAGCTCTTTTGAGCTGCAATCAAAGTTGCTTTTCAGACTTTCCTGGCTAGCATCCATACATTCTCCAAGTTCTATAGGGGTAGGATTCTTGCAGAATTTCTGAACTCTTTGGGCTTCAGTAATAACATGTGTAGCAGTCTCATTAATAGAAAATTTGAAGTTGTTCTGCCACACCTCATAGATATGTTCAACATCATTAAGGTCAATAACTACATTAGAACTATTAAGGGCTTCCTCTAGTTCTGGTTTAGAATATCCTCCTCTTTTAAGCTTAGACTCAATGAATGATAGCATTTCTTCAAAGCTCCAATTATTAGCTTTTTGAAGTTGAGCAAGGCTAGTGTATTGACATGCAGCTGCATTAGAAATATCATAATTCTTGTCAAATTCCATTGCAAGTAGAATGGTAGCAATTCTTAACTCAACTACTCTCTTTTTATGCCTGGTATAAAGCCCCATGAACTTAGATGAAGGAGTGAGCGAGTTAGAAATCACAAATGAATAGCCTTTTAAGGTATTGCCAGTATTTATCTGATCTATCTGGTCAGAATTCTCTAAGTCAAGATCATCATCCTTTTTGGAAGCAAGGTATGAGATATCAATTTTGTCATGTTCTCTTCCAATAAATTGAAGGCCTTGATTGATACATTTTACATATTCTTGATTGTCAATTTTGTTAATCAGCCCATTTGCATGCATTGTCAAAAGTGCAACACACATGATAAAGGATTTTCCTGAGGAAAGTCCTCATTCGAAAGGAATAAGGGAATCAATAAAGATCTTCATTCCAACAGGCTCAAAGCCTCTGGAGATTTCTTCTTCAACTGTTGTACTTCTCATTATAGCTTTGTAGCCTGCTAAGAAGTGATTTATCCAAGTATCCTCCTCTCTCATTTTCTGGCTAGGATCAGTATCAAGAATCTCTTCTGGGAACAATGCCATATCTATATTATTGATCCATATCTCTGGTTTGGTATGTTTAGAATAGGCTATGACAACGTCTTGATCAATGGGGACCTGAAAATCTTTGAATCCCGATGAGCCTACATGATTAGGGAAAGCTTCTTACTGATTTGCTCACCAACAATTGTTACTCTAGCTGGAGATCTGATGAAAAATTCAGGCTTTTGTTCATAAAGCTGCTCAAATCTTTTAGTTGTGTTCAAATATCTGCCTTCATGGACATCCTTTAAAGAGCCATCAAGGTCTGTATAAATATCACTCAATTTGGTGAAAACAGGGATAAACTCAGGTGTTTCAGCTACAGTTTGGTCCTCTGTTGAGATTGATTGGCCAGCTTCACTACTTGCCTCCATTTTTAAAAATTATTTGTAAAGTTAGTTTATAAGGGGTTTTGGGGTTTTGGGGTTTTGGGGTTTTGGGGTTTTGGGG